TGTTTTGTGTTGGGGGGGGGGGGGGGGGGGGAGATGGAGGAAAGAAGATTTTGCACTTGGCTAATAGAAATAAAAATTCTTTTATATAGGGCTATCTGGGGATCAGTTGGTTTCTATTTTATATCTTTTGGAAGCAATAAAGTGGTGATCTAACACTTCGATTCTGTCACTGACAGATTACTTATGTCTGCTCAGAGCCAGGCACTTGAGCTCTGTATTTGCACAATATTCTCTGGGAACTGTCAACTTTGGCACCAGTGTCTTTTGTATCTCTTATTAGTGATGAAAGAATGAAAGAAAGCCTGAAAACATTGACTAATATAATTCTAAGATGAACTGTGCAGAAACAGCCGTTGGAAAAAAAAGTATGCTTTTCCTCTTGAAATGACTATTATCCCTTAATGGTAAACAATAAAACATTTAGGATTAGACTATTCACTTTGATTTTTCTCTCATTTAAATATTAATTTTAAAAAATGACAAAGCAAGTAGGTATTTTATGTTCAAATCTTCCTATTTTTCATTTCCATATTTTTATCTTACTCCTGTCTTAAACGTAAACTTAGGCCTCCTTCATTCAATGAGTAACTTCATGAAACTGTAAGGTTTTCTGAATCTGTTTCCAGTTAGGTACCTGTAATATAAGATTACTGGTTAAATTCCTTCAGTTTTGCATTAAGTATACTGTAAACTGTTTTCTACCATCTGCAGAAAGAGCTCCAAGAAAAAAAAAAAAAAAAAGATGGGAAGGAAAGGGAGACAAAAATCATCATGCTGAGCAAGGATGGCTAATTGCACTTCCCCTTTTGTATTTTTTCTTCTATTTTTTTAATTTCAGGGGTCCTGTTTTTAAGCCCAGCTAATCATCCTGAAACTGCTTCTGTAGTCTGCATTCCTTTTTGCATTTGTTACATGAGAGGGATGGGACACGGGAATGAATCCAACATGTATTTCTGATCAGTATGTCGTTCTAGGGCTGATGAATCTTCCAGTGTATTTCAGTGCCTACACACACACTGCTGTTAAATGAAACCCAGTAGATTTGATGAGTAAATAGCAATGGTGTTTGAGATGAGAAAGTGAATACCTTGCTAACATTAGTTTACTAGAGTGTTGTTTATGTTGTATTTTTGGATCTATTCGTAGATACACATTGTGGTTTTGGTGAGGATGATACTCTTGTGTGGACTGTCTAGAATTGATTAGAACATGGTAGTATGAGCGCTCATTTGCAGTCAGATACATATTCAGGAGCTACAGTGAAGTCACAAATGCAGCACAGTATTTGACGGGCTAAAAGAATGAATTATCACCAGAAATACAGAAGTTTTTCATTGGAATAATAAGATTCTAGTTTTGGGAGGGTGGGGGCATGGGCAGAGAAAATAATCCATGTTGAGCCTTTCAAGGTGATTCCAAGCAGGGAGATCTCGTGCATATATGACAGGTGGTGGGACCTCTGTTATACCATATGTGCCAACAAATACACTGTTCGTGATGGCTTGAAGAAGATAAAAGGATTATTATATAAAGGATCTACAGTAGTCTCAGTATTTGAATAACCCAGTAACAGAATTAGGGACAGCAGCAATCTTAAGGTGTGTTATGAAGGAATAGTTTATGGGTCTACTGTTCCAGTGTCAAACCAACTTTCTTAAAGAAGTTTATCTAGCAATATTGTAGATTTCATACTTTACTCCCTAAAGGGCGTTTGAAGACTTTTCAGTGATAAATGGTTGACAGGATTGCAAACAGATTGGCATCTGATTGATGAATGGGATAATGGCAGTAGCAAAAGGCCCATGACAAAATGCAACTGGTCATTCAGAGAATTCCTTATAAGTTTATGAAGGAACAGTTGTTTGGAGTCATCCAGCATGTCTAAAAAGCTCCCTTCCAACCAGCATTTCTAAGATCCTATGAACTACAACCTTTTCTTCATAATAAAGTGATCTTTTTAAAGGTTCTTTGACAACTAAAGTAGGTCTACTGTGATAAGGACAGAAAAGAGTAAAGATCTTTTTATGTGAAAGAGGACAAATGTTGCTTATCTTTGCTGTTAAAACAAGGAAAAAAGTAAGAAAATTCGCTTTAAAAGAACCGATGAATGGGAACATAAATCCTAATGAACCTGTATTTTCTTTCCTGCCCAATGTGATTACTTTGCATATTGTTTAATGTGGATCCCAGTATTTGGGTGGATATCTTCAAAATGGCACATTCTTATAGTGTCATTTTTCTGAATAAAATAAAATGCCAGTCCTCAATGGCAAACGTACAAAAGATTTATGTTTATGCAAAGGATCTATCTATCTGTGATCTGAAAAAATTCATTCATGTCCTGGAGAGGGTGAAAGGCCACTAGGTGGTGAGAGAGAGCTTGTTAGGAGAGCCCGAGTCTATTGAGAACTCTTACTTGTCCTTCTACTTCCCGGGTGCTCTTACAAGCCGTATGCTGAGTTGGCAACTATCCCTCTTTAATAACTGAATTAGTGTCAGAGTTCTGAATTAAACTGGATGGGTATTTTGACAGAAATGTTAATGATTATGGACTCCAAATTTCTTAATTCCAGGTATTTTCTTACTTTGTAAAAATAGAACTCTTAAAAACTTGGGATCCATGTCGTTAGTCAGTGAAAATTGACTGTAAGCCTTTGTTTGCTTTCTTCTGAAATCCTTTCTTTTCATATAATAGTTGTACTCTAATTCCTGGTATGTGGTTGGGCAAAAGTAGGTGGCCACTAGTGCTCTCTAGGTTGATATCTGCAAGTCTACTTTGCCCGTTTCTTTTGTGTCCTGAAAGAGGAGCATGCTTGCCAGCGGCTGTCCCTCCATTTCCTTTCTCTGGTACATTGGTTAGCCGTATCTGCTCCAGACCTGCACAGTACAAACAGTTCAGATTCTCTCCACTACAAAGCTGTGAATCAGGTACTCCCCTCTGTCCTCCAAACTGTTCTCTGTTGATATCCCAAACCCAGTGATTCAGTGAAAGCTGTCTCTTACTGGTAATCATCCTTTGCCTGTACCAATTTATCCTACCAGGATTATGGCAAAATTATGTCTGTCGATAACCTGGCTGGAGTAAGTTATCAGTACTGTTGGGCATTGAGGGTGTTGCAATTTGAATAATGATGCCATGAAGTGAGCAGAGTGTAGCTCTGTCTCAGTGGGAATTTTGCCAGTGTGCAGGAGTGTGCATTTATGATTATTGGCCAGATGTGAAAATCATTCTGTTGTCTTGCATTACCTTTTCTGTAAACTTCCTGTTGAACTACCTTTTGAATTTTTCCTATAACGCTTGTGATTTAGGTAACTGTCAAGAGTCCAAAGAAAAACTTTGTTCAAAGCACAAACTTTCAGGGTGCTTTTCTGTCTAAAGGGATGCATTGTAATTCTATGCAGTGTAAAAACTAATGCCTACAGTGTCATTCATTCTGAGAATGCATATTTCTCACATAGTAGACAAGGTGAAGAAGAATTTAAGAAAAGTATTTCCAGTGACACATTTGCAAAGAAATACTGATTAAAAGCATAACTTATATAATTAATATTATTTTTGCTTTTCAGTAATACTTCTGTAATAAATTTACAAGTTTTAACTGGATGTTTACAAAAGGCTTTCCAGAGTGATCTTACTGTGAACATTTTCAATCTCTTTTAGGGTATTCCTGGTACGTGATAGCCAAAGTAACCCCAAAACATTTGTATTGTCACTGAGTCATGGACTAAAAATAAAGCATTTTCAAATTGTACCAGTAAGTAGATTTTTCAGTTTGTTTATACAGTTGTAAAAGAAAACAATTGAATAATAGTGATGGAATATTGCTGGATTTTTTTTTCTTTTGCTGTTTTATGGAAGATGTAAACATAATACCTGTATCACTAAAAATAATTAGTAATCTTGAGTTGAACATTTTTGAGCTTCACTGTTTGATTTGCTACAAAGCTCGACTAGTATTATGAAACCCTATAAAGTGTTGAAAAAATAGACAAATCCATATGAACTGGAATAGAAGCAACCATGATGGCATGAAAATCATGTATTAATAAAGGTGATATTGCCTTCTCATTTTTTAATATGTGCACAATTTCTTTTTAGTAATCTATTTAGGTGGACTGCCTATGACATATATGTGTATCTCATTGACTCATCTGTTCAGGATAGTTTCAATTTTTGGAGTCAAACATTTTTTTGCTGACCTCTCTTCTTGATTCATGTTATTGTGGTATATTCATTTCGAGGTCTTCTTCAGGGGGACAATTTTAGCAAAAAAATTGATATCCTTATTTAGTCCAGCTACTTATAGGTAAGCTGAAATTTCCCAAACTGAAGTCATGTTCCTGGCAGTTTTCATTGAAGAGATTATCCAATTCTCCTGCCAAAATGGCCAGCTTTCCTGATCCCTTCCACTGCCTCTAGAGGTGGCTTATACTGTTTTCTTTGCAGGCTGCTTCTGCTGAAATGAGAAACACGAGCATTATGTGTTTTAGCTGCAGATGCTTGACGTAACCAAGCAGACCTGTACCTTTTTCTTCTCTCTTCACAAGAACCTTTCTTCCAGACCACTTAATACTCTAGCCTCTATGTTTCTTCCTACTGAAGTTCCTAGGAGATTCTGCTGTTCTTAGAGTGTAGTGGCATTTTTTTTTTTTTCTGATCTGGTGATCCCCTATGATCGTTCACCAAATTTCTGTATGCCTTACCTAGGGCTTGTAGCTGATATCTTCCCCTTAAAAAAGTTCCTGTAGAATAAAACAGAAGCATTATTTGGGAGGATGAAAGGAATGAATCAATGTTTGTTAAAAGAATTGCCCAGAATTTTCATTGTGTTGGGTACAAACAGTGGAGGAGTCCTTTGTCCAAAAGTGATAGCTATGCCCTGGGTCCTATGCGAGCATCAGCACATGCTCTGTGATCAGAATCCCAGGTGTAAGGTCTGTGCTTCTATTGACTGTGGTCACTTCTAGTATTTACTTTGGGATAACTGTTGTGTGGTTTAGGAAAACCTGCTTTTACAAATACTGTATGATTCTTCTTCATTGGGATGTCATTTAACTCTCAAATTTAAGAGACCACTTTCAGGAAGGTGCAGTTATCTTCAGTTTCCTCTGAGCTGGATGATTCTCTTCTTCCCTACAAAAAAATACCAGTCAATTCTAATGTTATTCTGGAGTTGTAAGCAGTGCATTTGAGGAATTAATCATATACATGCATGCTAAAACCTTGCTCTCCTTTTGTAGGATCTTTGGAGGAACGAGGAATTCTTTATTTTGACATAGGTTGTTTAGACTTGGGTCATTTTTGCCATATTGATGGTCTAGAAGTCCTGTCTTACTTGAAAGAAAAATTTTTTATTGGTTTTAAAGTAAAGCAATTTATCCTATGCTACCAGAAAAAAAAATTTGTAATGAAAATAACTTAATCCGGAGAGACAATAGGAAACTGTTAGTTCCCCAAACATAGGCATATTTCAATTCCTTTCTGTCATTTAATTTCCAGTTGCATTCAGTACCCCTCATGCCATTCCCAAAACCCTGACTTAATGCACTCTCTGTTTTTGCTAGAATGGTACTTTTTAAGGAGTTCAGAAAAATGTTTTTTGAAGGGGAAAGTTTTTGCTTCCAGTTTCTGCTATTCTTCTAAATGAAGTTATCATTTTCTAAGAAACGAGGCATTTTGTGTTACTGCAGAAAGTTGGTAGCTTATCAGTTGGAGATCAAGGTTACCTTTTTGAACTTCAAATCCTACTGTTCTTCTAAACTCTTGCCTTTTTCCAGTCATTGGGAAGAGAAGATGAACTTTCCTACTAAACAAATAAATGGCATTTAGATGGTCTTTTTACAAGTTAAAAATCATTCAGTGACTAAATGAATTATTTTTCTCTTACCTTTTAGGTTGCGTCAGGTTATACTGCATTTAAAAATGTCTCCTCTCAGATAGGGCATGCAGCCTGCCAGTTCAAGTTTCCCCCACATTAACAGGTGCTTCATGTTGACATTGGTATTGCAGGTGGGCAGCAGGGAATTGATTGTAAAAAAGTTGAAAAAAAATCCTTTGGGATACATTTGGGATCCCATACTGTGAAAACTGGAGAACTTGGTAGCTTAAATGTATTTTTCAGCCTTACTGCTCTGAGTAGTAGGCTGATACAAGTTAACTTCAGTGTTGTCTATCCTAAAATTAGCTGTTCAGAAGAATAATACAGGTACATTTCTGGGACTGTCTTTTTCCACTTAATGTTTTCTCATAACAGCCTTCTTAGCTTGCAGAGCATGTTAGGTTCCTGGGCAACATAACTCAATATGAATTTTTACTTTGCAAAATACTAATTGCTTTAGAATTAGCAATCTGTCTGGTATTCACTTCAAGGTTTGGGATTAACTTGGAGGGAGAAAAATAAGCTAAAAGTGAAATCCCAGTCAACAGACATCTGAATCACAGAATCGCAGAATGCAGGGGTTGGAAGGGACCTTGGGAGATCATCTAGACCAACCCTCCTTGTCAACTCTTCCTTGTCTTCAGTGTGTTGGCAGGAAAACTACATGCATAAGGAAAGTCCAGTGGATGATAATCCATTTTCAGGTTCTTGGCTGAAGCACAGGAATTTACACATTCACACACTGGTAATTCCTTAACTAGTAATGTTTGACCTGGATTGACCAAAGTCTGAGAATAAAGAAATTACAGGCTACTTCCAGACATGGTAGAAAAGGGGTAGAATAACCAGGAGTCATAAGCAGTTCAACAGCTGCTTCAGATGAGAAATCTTAATTACAGGTAAGAGAGCTAATTATATATCCTCCCTTTCCCTGTACTCAGGTAGGATAGTTGCATCTTTCC